AAATGTTCCTTTAAACTTCCCTATGTGTCCTCATATGCATCATGCAATGCTTTTTAAAGGCTACTGATCAACACCTGAGGTCAAAGGGCACAGGAAGCTTAAGTTGATGTGGACTTGTTGTGTCTTTTTGGTAAAATAGCACTTTTAAAAGAGAGAGAAATCCTCTGGTGCACGTGTGTGGGCTGCATTAACCTCCAGTCCACCATAATGGCAGAAGCCGTCACGTTTGCACAGACACAAGTGTGTGTTTTGTGTGTGTGTGCTGTTTCCCCAGATGGCTTAATTGCTTCACACTACCACAACAGAGGGCTTATAGCCTCGAGTCAGCCGTTAAATACAAAGAATATTTTCTAAAATACCCAGTTATTTCCTTCATGCCCTCAGGCTTCAAACTCAGATCCGACTCGGCACATGACTGCTGAGTCGGCTTTGTCTGGAGAACACACGGATAACAACGCTTGGTGGGAGTCCAATTTTTAATTGCTCGCATACTCAACTACTGATGTTATTTCACACAAATGCCAAGAGGAAATGACTTCTCCTGATTCGACTGGGAAGCATTCAAGACTCTCAGGACTGCTGTACTGGGATACATGTGTATAAATGAACCGGTATAGAGTGGTGCAGTGATGATGAATTGTTGTAGGCCGACCTGGAAGTTGGCATCGCAAGGGATCGCTCGACAAAAAGCAAATAAATCTTCCATTGGATTTTGGAATATTGTATAAAATAATCTCCGTAGCAGCCAGCTGTTTATGAACACCACTTTTGGATTTTCGAACTGAAAGGCAATTGCCAGAGGTAAAAAGCTAATGTTAGGCCATAAAGGAACTACAGCACAGTCACATGACTTCACGTCAGAAACGCTAAGCTAAAGGCAGCTAATGTTGGGCGTTATGACATTTAGTCGTCTACAGCAAAATCTTCTCAGCTCGTGTTAACAACAAACCTTATTTCAAAAACACTGGCTTCAAGACAAGGGAGTGCTCAAATGCTAACTGATGTGTTTTAGGACTCATTCCCGCACCCCTCTATTCATGCACACACCTCGGCAATGACCCTGAAAACATGAATGATGATTTCATTTCACTTTCCTATAATGCCATGAGTCAATGTCGGAGAAAACGTCCTCCAGTGCTTCTCTTAAGCCATCTATAAAGAGGTGTGTGTGTGTGTGTGTGTGTGTGTGTGTGTGTGTGTGTGTGTGTGTGTGTGTGTGTGTGTGTGTGTGTGTGTGTGTGTGTGTGTGTCTGTCTGTTCAGGCTCCAGCATCTTGCTATCTGTCTTGTATCTACCTTCAGCAACAGGGGTGTGTATTCTATATCTCCTCAATAAAAAATGACCAAAGGATTTACCCTGTGGCTGCGGACACACACACACAGACACACACACACAGACGGACACACACACACACACACGCACAATCAGTCAGTGACAGGATCCAGATGAAAAGCCAAGGTCTCTGGGCTCTCTTGAAAGAAACGGCTCCTATCACAATGGACAAAAGAGTGCCGAGTGAGAAAAACCAGCAGCTTCATGTCCTCTTAAATCTTCGTCATGTTTAGATCAGATAAAATGCGTTAGATAAATATCTAAAACTCCAAATGTGAGGCATTTCTTTAGGCCTCCTTCCTCCTCCCGGTCTCTCTGTCTGCAGAAACTCTCAGTTCTCACCTCTCTGAGATGTTGACCGGCCATAAACAAAAACACACAGCGATGTCGGCCGTCTAAACACAAGCAGGGAGCTCCGAGCAAACACACACACACACACACACACACACACACACACACACACACACACACACACACACACACACACACACACACACACACACACACACACACACACACACACACACACACACACACACACACACCACACACACACACACACACACACACCACACACACACATCCTAACACTGAGCTCATGATGAAACCCCCTTATATGCTTCTGATAATGGAGCTATTACAAATCATTTCTATATATGCTTTAAAGGGCCCATGTCATGGCCATTTCCACTGATCATAATTACATTGTTGAGGTATACTAAAATAGATTTATACTGTGCAATTTTCCAAACTCACATTGGTTTCGCATACAGCATCTCTGTCAAGCATGTGTATTCAGCAGTATTCACTTTCTCCACTAAACGACTCGTTGGAGCTCTTGCCCCCCCCCTCCCTGTGAGCCTAGTGTGCTCCGATTGGTCAGCTCGGCCACTCGTTCTGATTAGTCAACCACCAGAGAGGCTGCGCCCATGTCAGTGCTTTTCCCGGCTGCTCTCAGCGTAACATCAGTCTTATCATGGCGTCGGTACAGCGGTATATTTTATATACATATATATTTTTAACTGTTGTTATAGAAGAGTGTGACGGCCCCAGGGCCTTTGTCTTACGATGGGGTGGAGCTGAAGAGGCTAATCAGCACGATCACGGACACCTCCGGACACAGTCTCTCTCCAAAGCGGCTGCAGGAAGACTAACTCTGCGATCCTCTCAACCACCTATCTTTGCATTTACCACAATAAATGTGCCGTGGTTTTGTAAACTCGTGTATGTCTCCTTGTCTTTCCGTTGTGGCCTACGAGCTACTCTCATAACAAAGAGTAAGTTATTTTTACCCGTTATAAACTACTACTGTTTGATGAGAAATCAAATCATGGTTTGCTATATATGAATTCAGGGAAGAAAGGATAGGCCTACTAAGTATTTCCATTAAACTTTATTTTTAGAAATGTACAAAATGAACATAAATATACATATATACACACGGTATATCATTCATTCCTCCTCCTCGCATCTTGCCTGCGCACAGTCGGTGCGGTGCCTTTTAGCACGAGGCCTCAGTAGTAGTAGAATCCCTTCCCCGTCATGGATTGTCCGCCAGGATCTGGCTGGACGAAATCAAATGCAAATCACAAAATATTAGAGAAACTTAGTTGTTTTAGATTAGTTAGTAGTAGTTGTGTAATGAACAGCTTGCCTGCTAATATGCTAACCTAGCTTTGTTTACCTTGGTAGCTAACACGATATGAACGTTAGCTTGGAGGAAAGGCAACTATAATGCAGTGTAATAAAACTACTATGAACAAAAGCTAGTGGTTCATATTAGGCTAGCAATAACGTGTTTATAATTGCAATCGTATACGGGTATTCTGCTACCATACAATGTAACTTGCATGAATACATTGTTTTGCGCTAGCATACAGCTAGCCTCGTTAGCTACATGCAGTATATGTACGGTCACAATGTACGGTAAATCACAGTACAGTATACTGTATGAGTATTCCGTGTGTGTGACTGCAGACATTCTCCTGCCATGACAAACATGTAAGGCCATCTGCTGACATTGTAGTTGATATATTTAAACGCTAGCAACGTAGCATCACAAAAATGTTTTTCTGACCAAAACTAGCTCTAGCTCCGTGTGTTAGATCGCTACGCCAGCTATAATGTAATTACGTTTCGCGACTGACCGGCAAATCACCCGGAGTATACTGTCAATAGGTATTTTGTGTGTGAATGCAGACATTCTCCTGCTATGAGATACATGTATGCAAGGCCATCTGCTGATATTAGAGTTGATATATGGAAACTCTAGCAACTTAGTTAGCACAGTTAGCACTGTGTCAATGGCTTAGCAGTCCAACACAGTTTACACATTTAAACAGTCTTGTTTGATAAATACACAAATAACAATGCAAACTTACAGGTTGTATACCCAGATCTTCCCCTGCTCCAAACGGTCCAAACAAGCTGTGCATATCCGGCCTCAAACTGGGCAATGTTTTGGAAGCTTTCGTCTGTGAAATGCCGGTTCTTCGAACCTCTGGAGGAGGAACACGACGCTGCTGGTGTGGCCATAGCTCTTCGGGATTGGTCCATTTCGTTCCGGGTACCGCATGACATCATGCGGTACCCGGAAGAATCAAATGGGCAGTGACGTATCTCCAACGAGGCGTTTTGGGGAGGTATTTTCTGTGTTAGAGTTTTACTCGCTACAGGGTGTACTTTGAGGGTTTTGACTCTGCACACCGTTTACATGCATAAAAACCTTCATAACACACAAGGGGACGGGTAATAACCGGAAAAGCATGACATGGGAGCTTTAACATATAGGTTGACACTTGAAAAGATCACCATACAAACATCCTAAAAGGACGGCACCATCGTGGTTAAGTGTGATGTAGAGTAGGATAACTAAAATATACACTGGGCACAGGCAGGAAGACTTCCAGAAACTATCCTTAGTAAATGTTAACATTGACAACAGCAGGGAATGTAAGAAGTGTTATATTGACTGTAATGATGACTAAAAACCTCTATAATGTTCACAGTGTCCATTGGCTAAAACTAAAATATCTTTGACTAAGATAAGATTAAAATGCCCTTACTTGTAGTCAACGAAAACTTGACTTTAAGGTTGTCAAAACGTGATAAAGACATAATAAGAATCACGTGAAAGTAAGTATGGATTGACTCAAACGTAAAGGTTTCTCGTGGTCGATCCATCAGTCTGCTGAGCTGCGTCAGTACATCAGAAAGCAGCTCCACATGATGGAGGACACCACTTTATTTTCTATTTATTCCACGGTGCTTCTCGCGGGAATTGAATGTAACACATGTCAACAGATCTGAGGTCAGGCATTGTGAGATCAGGGGATAAGGAGAAGAGTCATGCTTTACCAACACTGCTCTCTGCTGTCTGGATGCAGAACAGCAACTAATATCCTCCACCTGGATCCAATTGCTCAAACAAAGCAATATGTAGCCTCTGAATACTGCATGATTGATGATGACATATTTGTTTTTGTTATCAGTCTCTTTTTGCATTGTATATAAAACTAGCTGCGGATCTCGATCAGGATTTAGTGGCTTTCTGGTTGAATTTAAATAACAAAAACAAACGTGGAAAAGCAGGAATTCATTACGTATATGGAGAGGACTATGAGTTTTAAGTACAGGAGAAGAAGGGATGTGGGAGGAGCTGGTGTTACCTGGCAGGATCTCAAACAGGTGTCTTCCTGGTTCGTCCGGATTGGCTGTGAGCTCGGTCACCTGACATCCCTGCAGAGGAATACAGCCCTGAAACACAGAGAGAGAGAGATTATTATTAATTGTATTATTTTGTATATCACTATTAAGGGACTGTAGGACAAATATTAGAATAGGAAGGAATATTGTGTATTTGTATCTTAATATTTTAGGTGGAGAAAACATTTTGTGTCACCACTGTTTCTCAGATTCCCTGGCAAACAATGACATTCAACCTAATTAATGGTCCAAAAGAGCTGCATCTTGAGATAACATTTTTCTATTTCCCTCAATATGTCCATCCTTAAATCACCTCTTAGCCTTCCTTCCTCTCTCCTCTTCCTCCCCCGCCTCCTCCCCCCCTGTCAAATGTTTAAGCACCCGCCCCCCCCCCCTCATGTGATTGAACAGGCAGCAGCAGATTATCAGAATACATTATCCAGATCAATACCCATTTAGCCCCGAGAGGCGAGGCGATGCCAGCGTCTGAGGCTCTGCAGGCTGGCATCGCCTCCTCCAGACGGGCTGCCGACCGCCAACATTAGTCGCCATGGCTACAAATGGAAAGGGGTGGGATGGGGTGAGACAGGAGGAGAGGAGAGGGGGGGGGGGGAGGGAGGTCCCAAGGGTGCTATGTGCTCGGAATAACAGGAGTATCTGGCCGGGGACGAATGAATCAACACGTCACCCCACAGCACAAATCACAGTGAAGCAGGGATATCTCGTTTAAAGACCTACTTGTTCTCCCGTGCTTTTGCAGACCACGTATCAGTCTGTGTTTTCTAAATTGGGGTTTTCTATTTTGTTGTGTTTTCAAATGTGTTTTCATCATGTATGAGGGTTTTCAGTCTGTGGCTATCGAGAGGCGAAGTCCCGCCCATCTACTTCCGACCCATGGGACCTTATTTCGGAAAAATTATGGGTCAATGGGTTGAATTGTGCCACGAATTACACATATGATGTTTGTCAATCTTAAAAAAAAATGTCCATGTCAAAAAAGTCACAGTTTGTCGTAAAACTGTTGAAATATAAGACTATGAAAAATACGCAACTAGAAAGACTACAAATCCCAGAGTCCCGGTCCCGCATGCTGGCTCTTATGAACCGACTAACTCCCCTTGTGTGTATGTACAGCTCTCAACATGCCCAGACTTGGAGTGATTTTCACCTCTTTTAATACTTTCCGCGTCATTCTGAAAGAAAGAAGTGAAATGTGCCAACGTGACGGCCGTCTTGGTGTGTGGTGCGAGACGGGAGATGTAGTTCATTGAGCGGTTTCACACCAAAAAAAGTGTTACTTGTTACTACGTAATCTTTTAAATTGACAAACATCATATGTGTAATTCGTGGCACAATTCAAACGGGATCAAAAGATAATCTTTCTCTCTCCATTGACTTCAATACATACTTTTTCTGAAATAAGGTCCCATGGAGGTCCCCCGGAAAGGGAGGGACTTCGCCTCTCTATAAGTAAGGTTTTATTGTCTCGTGCTTTTACATTTGTTTCTTTTGTCCTATCGGTTTTGTCTAAATGTATTCATGCTGCTTTTTTATATATGTATTGATGTACAGCACTTTGGTCAACTCTGTTGTTTTTAAATGTGCTATAGAAATAAAGTTGGATTGGATTGGGATAAAAACACATGAGGTCAGATTTACTTTGATACAGAATTGTGTAACTAAGTACATGTTTACATCCAACTGCACCTTATATTCTACCTCATACCGTTTTTATAGAACACATTTATTTATAGTTTTGTAACTGCACTGATAAATGTGCAATAACTGACCGTATTGTTCTTGTATTTGTATGGTAATGTTGTATTGTTTTGTAAGCGTACTGTTCAATGTATCATAGGTCCAATTTATAGTCACTTTATATATTATATATTAAAAGTTTTAACTTGTATTGTCAAATGATACTTACAGGGTTCATACACTTTTTCACCAATGATTTTCAATGACTTTTCCATGACTTCTCCATGACCTTTACCTCATTACCTCAAAAAATTACTCTTTCTCAGCGGTACCACTGAAAATTGTTTATTTTAACATGGAACAGAAAAAGTTCTGAAACATGTTGTGCCTATCTAAAACAAATCAAATTAGCTTCTATAGACTAAAGCAACTCAAATCTCTCACCAGCAAAATACCTCGACAGTTAAATGCCATTTTACGTTTCATTACTATACAGTATTTATTATCATTATAGTATTACTATTTCGGCGATTAGATAAAATATAAATTATATTTGATGCAACTTTAGTTACATTTCCATGACTTTTCCAAAACTTTGGGAAAACTATTGTTTTCCATAACTTTTCCAGGGCCTGGAATTTGCATTTTGAATTTCCATGACTTTTCCAGGTTTTTAATGACCGTAATAACCCTGTACTTATCTGTTATGTCTGTTATGTGTGATTGCACCATTGAGAATGCTTGGAATTTCGCTGTGCTCTGTGTAGTGACAATAAAAGGAATCTAATAAAAACACATTTACTTTGGTACATAACTGTGTTTTAAGACGCAGCAGCATGTAACAGGCCTGCATATCAATTAGAAATGAAAATATATGCAAATAAACAATAGAAAGCAAGATGTGTAGAGAGTGCGCACACTCGATACACTTTAATAGACTAACCTACCGTTAAAAAGACTATAAATATAGGACATATACATTATTAATGTTTTAATTATTGATCCCGCAGGCATTTAAATTCTGAACTCTGTAAAGCGTTGTAAGAAGGGGAAGAGGAAGAGTTGCGTTTATTATATCTTTAAACCAGGGGTCTTCAACGTTTTTCAGGACAGGGACCCCCAAACTGATGGAGAGCTGGAGCAGGGACCCCCCTACTATATGTATGGCATACAATTGTGTTTTATATTAAACGGGGCCTAGTGCCGTGTATAAACATAGCTACTCTGTTATTGTACATTCAATACTAAGCTATTCAAATAATGACAGAGCCAGCGTGTGTCATGCGGCCTCGTGATTGGCACAGCAGCGATAGGGGCGGGTCCTCCCCTTTGTGTACAGGAGGCCTGGTGGTACCTCCGCGGACCCCCTGTTGAAGACCTCTGCTTTAAACCATAGTTAAGACTGATTAAATCTATAGGATATATTTACCAAATAATATATTGATGGATCTGTCTACGACAAAAAAAAAACACTTTTAAAGATATTGTGAAATTCATACACTTTGCTCAACACTACAGGTAAGATTTATAAAGCGTAATGTTTATATATTGAAATGAGACATTGTGTAATGCTATCTTTAGGAGAAATCTACCAACACAAGAAGACTAAGGAAGTAAAATACATCTACCTAAATAAGTATTTGGGATGTTTTCATTCCACTTGTGACAAAAAAGACATGATAAGGAAGCAATAAAACTCTCAAAATGGCCGATTAAAAAACACTTTTTTTTACCTTCAGTGTCTGGCATTTATATCCAATGAGACTTACTGATAACTCAATCTCAAATCCAGCAGTGATTTTATACCTAACGTATGATTTGTGTTTATGACCTACATGTTTGAACTCTTTTAAATAGCATGTAAGTTAGTAATATGAACAACTAAATGCGTATTTTTTATGTTTTTGTTCCACTTGTGTAAAAGAATACATGTAGTGGAAGCTAAGAAGCAGCACTTAGCATTAAAAATGGAGGCACAACAACACGTCTCACCACTTTAAAAATGATATATGATCTTGTGTGATGAATTGCATTTGAAGAGTCGATTTGTATTCGCAGCCCTGATGTCCAAAATACAAATCGATCACGTGTTAAGTGAAGTTTTGAAAAGGATTCATCCCGGCATGATGACAAGGAAGAGGAAAACCGGCATACATCCTGCTTCAGTATTGCCTTCCCCTCTCCACCAATTATCACATATTTTTATCTCAGAGGGGGGAGGGGTCTTGTTCTTCTGCTGAGATACTAACCCCCCCCCCCCAACCCACCACTGAGAGCCTCCAATTTCCTATCGATTAGAAGATGAGAGGGGAGAGTGTGTGTGCGTGTGTGTGTGTGTGTGTGTGTGTGTGTGTGTGTGTGTGTGTGTGTGTGTGTGTGTGTGTGTGTGTGTGTGTGTGTGTGTGTGTGTGTGTGTGTGTGTGTGTGTGTGCGTGCGTGTGTGCGTGTGTGTGTGTGTGTGTGTGTGTGTGTGTTAAATCCACAGGGAGTTGCAAATCAATACACACCGGACAGCTATTGGCAAGCTCTGATTAAAGGCAGTCTGTCAGAGCCTTCAGTCAGATGTTCCCCACAGAATGGTGAGGCGGAGAACACGTCATCCTGTGTGTGTGTGTGTGTGTGTGTGTGTGTGTGTGTGTGTGTGTGTGTGTGTGTGTGTGTGTGTGTGTGTGTGTGTGTGTGTGTGTGTGTGTGTGTGTGTGTGTGTGTGTGTGTGTGTGTGTGTGTGTGTGTGTGTGTGTGCTGGATAAACGACAGTGATGGCAGACGGCTGCATCCTGCATTAAATGAACAGCGTTAGTGCAGAATGAGGACGGAATAAATCAATAAAAGTGTCAGGGTTTCAGCCAGAAATGTAAAGAGATGATTATTAAGGTCTTAAGAGTGTGTGTGTGTGTGTGTGTGTGTGTGTGTGTGTGTGTGTGTGTGTGTGTGTGGGCCTGCTGTCTTTTGTTGTTGGATTACATCATCGCCTCATGTTACGTGTAAGCCTGTCAGCTACGATGAGTACCACACAACGTCGTTTATCCGACTAGTGTGTGTGTGTGTGTGTGTGTGTGTGTGTGTGTGTGTGTGTGTGTGTGTGTGTGTGTGTGTGTGTGTGTGTGTGTGTGTGAGGTCAGTCCAGGCCAGCTACCGTATTGCTTACTGCCTGAATCAGCCTCATCATGTGGAAAATGTGAGTCAGCAGCCCTCCCTCGTCACAGAAGATTGATCAGAGATTTTAAATATTTTTACGATGGTGCAGTGATGGAGGCGTCACACACTCTCTGTGGTTTACACTAATGCACTCTAAGACGCCCTGTCAGTGTGACGAGTCATCATTAACACTGTGAGTTTGTAGACAATAAAGCACATAAGGTAGTGTTGTTTGTGGAGTTTACTTAAAGTGGACCTATCATGCTATATTTGAATAATATAGTGTAGGACCATACCTATATAAGGCATATTTATACTTTTTTTTTTTCAAAATACCAAACAGATCATGCATTTTAGCCATGCCTCATTTCGCTCAATTTGCACTTTTTTACCCCTGTTTTTGCAAGGGCAGATTCTGTGAGAACAGCACCACCTACAGGCCTGGCATATGTACTACAGCGTCTCCAGCGCTTTCGAACGGCAATGGCCGTGGCTGTCTCCTCCTGATTGGTGGAGTTGGCCCAATAGCCGTAGCGCCACTGTCCTGACGTCAGGACAGTGTTCAAATCTGGATCAGTTTTTATCAGATCCGTTGCAGCCCCTTTTTTAGAGATTTGGGTATGGAGGAAAATAGAGAGGGTTGTGTTTTCTGACACTTGGTGAGTTCCCTGGAACACCGGGGACACATATTCATGTATAAAAGACGTACAAAAGTGCATTTTGCATGATAGGTCCCCTTTAAAGAACATCACTAGTGTAAATTGTAGTACGTTTTACTGTCATTTTACTGCAGGCCTTCCCTGATGTCTTCAGCTCCTGCACATGAAGAGCCCCTTGTATTGACCCTTTGACTGTCTGAGTTTTTAATAATCTGTCACTTAGGGATGCCAGTTCCATAAAACAAGGAAAAACACAAACTCTAAATCTTTAGATGAACAGAAAATAGCATATATTTCAATATCCCCCCAAATCCCCTGGTCCACAAACAAAAGTCAACTCTAGGTTTTCTTTTTCAAACATTTGTAGTAAAGAATAGTCCATTAATTAAATTCAAAACGTATGAAAATCAAATGGAGAGATATACTGTAGTTCTCCACTTAAACAGTAACAGGAAGTTTGGGAATTCATGTCCCTTAAAATGGCTTCAGTCTGATGTATTGTGCTGCCACCTGGAAACCCACATCCTAAATAGCATTGAGCACCTTATCAGTATCTAAAAAACTAATTTGAGATAATGTAAATTGACTTTTGCAGCACCCTCTGGAGCCACATAATACTTTATAAAATGTATTAATTGGTGGCGTCTCCCTTAAAATGTAATTTAGAACAGCCTCACTTTACCACAAACACTACTTGACTCAAGGGATTGGGAAGCAGCACCACGGGGGCAAAGATAAAACACTTCCACTTAATTGAGTAAATGTAATCACATCAGACCTACAGTAATTCATTTCCACATTTCGTGTCCCCTCTTCTTCATGTCTCTTCTACATCAACATGTGTCCCCTCTTCTTCATGTCTCTTCTACATCAACATGTGTCCCCTCTTCTTCATGTCTCTTCTACATCAACATGTGTCCCCTCTTCTTCATGTTCTGTTGCTACATCACATGTGTCCCCTCTTCTTCCTGTCTCTTCTACAATCAACATGTGTCCCCTCTTCTTCATGTCTCTCTACATCAACATGGTGTCCCCTCTTCTTCATGTCTCTTCTACATCAACATGTGTCCCCCTCTTCTTCATGTCTCTTCTTCATCAACATGTGTCCCCCTTCTTCATGTCTCTTCTACATCAACATGTGTCCCCTCTTCTTCATGTCTCTTCTACATCAACATGTGTCCCCCTCTTCTTCCTGTCTCTTCTACATCAACATGTGGTCCCCTCTTCTTCATGTCTCTCTACATCAACATGTGTCCCCTCTTCTTCATGTCTCTCTACATCAACATGGGTCCCCTCTTCTCATGTCTCTTCTTCACTCAACATGTGTCCCCACGTTCTTCATGTCTCTTCTACATCAACATGTGTCCCCTCTTCTTCATGTCTCTTCTACAATCAACATGTGTCCCCTCTTCTTCATGTCTCTTCTTCATCAACATGTGTCCCCTCTTCTTCATGTCTCTTCTACATCAACATGTGTCCCCTCTTCTTCATGTCTCTTCTACATCAACATGTGTCCCCACTTCTTCATGTCTCTTCTACATCAACATGTGTCCCCTCTTCTTCATGTCTCTTCTACATCAACATGTGTCCCCTCTTCTTCATGTCTCTTCTACATCAACATGTGTCCCCTCTTCTTCATGTCTCTTCTACATCACCATGTGTCCCCTCTTCTTCATGTCTCTTCTACATCACCATGTGTCCCCTCTTCTTCATGTCTCTTCTTCATCAACATGTGTCCCCTCTTCTTCATGTCTCTTCTACATCAGCATGTGTCCCCTCTTCTTCATGTCTCTTCTACATCAACATGTGTCCCCTCTTCTTCATGTCTCTTCTTCATCAACATGTGTCCCCTCTTCTTCATGTCTCCTCTTCATCAGCATGTGTCCCCTCTGTGTAAAGAGACTCTGAAAGTTTCAGGAACAAAGATTCTCTCTCTTTTTGTCCTGATCCATTTTTATAAAAACCTGTCTGAAAATGAGCTGATCAGATTTTGGCCACTTTGTGATGTCATAACGATGTTTTGTCTTGTGTAACCATTAGCCAATCACCAACCAAGGTAACCCCCCCCCCCCCCCCCCCACCTTATCACCTGAATCTCCTCCTAGAGCACCATTGTGTTCTTTGTAACCAAATCTCTCTCAGAGGGGCGTGGGGAGGGGCTCCTTATTTTCATCTAAAGTAACAGACAGAGAATCAGCACTTTGGAAACAGGGCTGAAACAGAGGGGATTATGGGATGCTGCAATGATCTGTTTGGTGTTTCAGCCAATCAGAGACATGTTCTGTATATATCTGAGACCTGTAATATATTGATGAGAAACAGTATAATAGGGGACCTTTAATAACTCCCTTCCACTCCTCAGTCTAAACATGGCCGCCGTGTTACCTGTGGCTTGGTTTCTTCCTCATCTTTGTAGAAGAACAGCTGATCTGAGCGCAGCACGAACCATCGCAGCTGCCAGTTCTTCATGATGCTGCGCTGCTTCTTCAGCCAGCCGCCCTTCAGAGCGCCCTCCTGCAGGCTGGGGGAGGCGGGTCGGCCTCGAGACACCTCGCCCATCACCATGCTCTTTGACCTGGCTGCTAACACACACAACAAAACACCAATTTAAAAATCTGTTAGAAAAATATCCCTCGTCCCCGGCTTGAGCTTCAAAACAGGATCCATGTATTTATGATCCTCTCCAGAATGGAAGTAGTCATCACATACAGAGCATCAACTAGTTCCTGAACAGTGTCCTTTACATGCTGATATACAAGAGAGGGAGTTACACAGTCACAAGATGGAGGAATACCGGTTCTTCTAGTTAATCATACATCCTGTTATGCACAAAATACTGAGTTTTTCTCAAAATTCTTACTTTTGCTCAAAATCTCAAAATTCTTACTTTTTCTCAAAAACTCAAAATTCTTACTTTTTCTCAATCTCAAAATTCTTATTTTTTCTCAAAATTCTTACTTTTTCTCAAAATTCTTACTTTTTCCTCAAAATCTCAAAATTCTTAAAATCTCAAAATTCTTACTTTTTCTTCAAAATTCTTAAAATCTCAAAATTCTGACTTTTTCCTCAAAATTCTGACTTTTTCTGAATACTTAAAATTGTTAATAATCCCTGGTCACCGGCTTGAGCTTCAATCTCAGGATCCATGTATTTCTGATCCTCTCCAGAATGGAAGTAGTCATCACATACAGAGCATCAACTAGTTCCTGAACAGTGTCCTTCACATGCTGATATCCAAGAGAGGGAGTTACACAGTCACAAGATGGAGGAATAGAAAGCAGTATTCAATGTTTACTTCAGATTAGCTCCACGTCAGAAATGATCATGCTTATCATATGTCTATCTCCATAGAGGCTGAATCATCATGTTAATCACATAGCTATCATATGCCTAAAACAGTCCTGATGCTCTTCTAGGTAATCATACATCCTGTCATGTACACAGCTACAGTTGGGATACCTTTGTTATCATGTGGACTCTGATATTGGAAGAGTACATTCAGTGTTTTCCCAACAAAAACTAACTTTATTTAGATTTCAATGGAAGAAACAATCCTTGATAGAGGGGTTTGGGGCTGTGAGGGGAATTCTTACACACAATAGAGAGGGTTTATTGAAAGGCTTAAATTAAAGCGTATATTAGTGTACAGTCACATTGTATGCCACCATTACTTCTGCCAAACTCTCCTCAGGTTTAACTAATTCTGAGACTGGTTATAAACATATTGGCCTTCAGTCTAGACTCCAAAAAACAAAAAAAAGGCACAACCTAAACATTAAGATGGACGTCACAGCTGTTCCCATCTTCCTGGTTTGACTTAAAGGGGACCTATCATGCAAAATGCACTTTTGTACGTCTTTTACACATGAATATGTGTCCCCGGTGTTCCAGGGAACTCACCAAGTGTCAGAAAACACAACCCTCTCTATTTTCCTCCATACCCAAATCTCTAAAAAAGGAGCTGCAACGGATCTGATAAAAACTGATCCAGATTTGAACACTGTCCTGACGTCAGGACGGTGGCGCTACGGCTATTGGGCCAACTCCACCAATCAGGGGAATGTGGGGTTGGGCCACGGCCGCTCGAAAGCGCTGGAGACGCTGTAGTACATATGCCAGGCCTGTAAGTGACGCTGTAGTCTGCTACAAAAGCAGCGAAGAAGACTTCCTGCCCATAGTTACCATGGTTACCCTTCTGTTTATTCTCCGCAGTGGCTTTCTTTCTCCCTCCCCGAGGCAAGCGTTTGCTCCCGCTGCTTTAATTCAATGCAATCCCTCCCCGTCGAGGCAAGCACTGTAATTCTCTCCGGTTAGTCCACCAGCAGATGACAAACACCCACCTCTCCGCCTCTTCCAAGGAACGAGGGGACCGTGCGGCAGAGTTTCAGTTTCAGTTTCTTTCACCGGTCAAGATGTCCGTTAAAGTTTAAATCTTCCGGACAAAATTTGAAAAGTGCCGGTCAAAGGTCTTCTTTGTTATTTATTGAGCTTTAAAACAAATGAATAACGACTCTATATAGGCTATAATAAAACACGGAGGACGGAGATCTCTTTTTCTCCCCCTCTTCTGACAGCCCAGCAGCTGATCAGAGCACGTCTCCCCTCTCCTGCAGGGGGGCGTGGTCAGCAGAATCAGACCCGTAGACAGCAAACAGCACATAGAGCGAAATGAGGCATGGCGTAAATGCATGATCTGTTTGGTATTTTGAAAACAGAAACGTATAAATATACCTTATATAGGTATGGCCCTACAATATATCATTTAAATATAGCATGATAGGTGTCCTTTAAGGCCTACTTCAATGATTCCTAACATGAAAAAGGCAATTGTAATATAAAAATATCCATTATGTCCAATATTTGAATACTTTAATATATACTTATAAATATGAATGAGCTCAATGCCTTAACACAGTCCAGATCCTCAGCTTTAGTCCAGTAAAGCGTCACTGAAGTTCATCTTTGTCGACAAATCTTCATTTCATTTGCAGTTCTGTCTTTTATTCCACGGCTTAGACTCGTTTCAGTCTCTGCTTCCTTTGAGTTTTTCAAAAGCACTTTCCTCCAACTTTTAGCTAGTCAATTCATGCATCATTTATATTCTTGCTCTTTGTCCACTACATCTTTTGGGTGGATTTCCAGGCCATTGGACTCCATTGGAATGACAATTTAAAAACGAAATTCAATTTCCTCTTATACATCGCCTGCTCTACTGGACAGTCCTAGACCAAATGCAAATGATCCCCAGTCAGCCAGCATGTTCTCCAACATTAAAACACCACATTATTCTGTCCTTCCATCAAACTCTTTACATAAATCTCTTTATTTTACATAAACGCAGGCGGAGAGTGAAGGGGTCGACAAGGGATTCATTTGGGGTGAATTCAGCTTCTGTCTTTTACATTTTCTCTCCAATAGAAGCGTGGGTTATCCCCCATTGTGTATGCCACACACACACCCACACACACACACACACACACACACACACACACACACACACACCACACACCACACACACACACACACACACACACACACACACACACACACACACACACACACAGACACACACACACACACACACACACACACACAAAAAACCCACCCACCCAACCAACCAACCAACCAACCACCCCACCCACCCCACACACACCCACACACCCACACCCACACCCCCCCCCCCACACACACACACACACACACACACACACACACACCACACACACACACACACACACACACACACACACCCCGGGCTGTGAGACGCCTCTAGATGAAGGCGCGGTGGGACTGCAGAGAGGTTGCAGGCAAATAATGACAGAAAGCAGATCAAAAAGAGAGTGCACAGGGGGAATACACACACACACAGACATATACAATAGACACACACACATTATAGACACACACACATAGACATAGCCTCAGGTGACAGGGATCCCCCCCCCCTTCCATTTCAGAGGTCCTTGGGAGAGACTCATTGTGTGGAATAGCAGCAGAGTATTGGGGCTTTGAGCCGGGATAATAAGCCCACATGGGACCGACTGGATCACTCCCAACAAACGGGTGTAACCTGAGCTCAGTCAAGGACAGCTTTAAAAGAGCGGGGGGGGGGGCATGGCAGCAGCTTTATGACATCATTGCAACGTGATATCGGGTTTGTCTCCACCGGGCTTTACTCATGTTGTAAGACAACAGCTGTGAAGAAATCGTCATATGTTCATTGTACAACGTTTTATTTTTTATTTTTACATTTGGTGTTCATTCTTGTCTCTATGCTTTTTTAATATATATATTTTCTTTTTATAATCCTTATCAGGGGTTTTTCTAGAGAAATATAGTATGAGGTGATACTGTGGCGCTGATCTTGTTTATAAGATAAATACATTCTCACAAGAACACGACGCCCGTATACAAGATGGCGACACGGAAGTAAACAACAACGTGACGTCGGAGCTCCGTCAAAACAAAGCCGTCTCTGCCGTCTGACGCTCTATTTCACACGATATTCATATTTTTTGAGTAATTATACAGTTTTTGACGAACAGAAATATTGTTTTCTGGCAACACTTTAACATTTTACGGGTAAAATCTGCATTTTGGTATGAGGGTGAACACAGAGAGTAACGCAGCGTCCACACGGCGGCGTGCGTTGAAGCTTGCCGGTAGGCGTGTCTGGAGCGCGACCAACAACCAATCACATGAATCTCCCGCCCCGGACACACAAGCATGCGGTTTGATTGGCTAGAGCTTGTACTGGCATATCATTTGATTGGCTGACGTTTCCGTCGAAGCTTCAAAAGTAGAACATTGCTCTGCTTTTGAAGACGACAATGCAGTTCGGCAAAGCGTGACGTCACCCCATTGAAAGTGAATGGGCACGGCAAATCAAATTGGTGTTTCTGAAATTGGATTCAAGACAGCAGCGTTGGTATGACTTTTGACAATGTTTAACAATCATATTGCATTAGTTGACTCGTGTCAGATGCAGGAATGAAAGCGTGTCTTTAAATTGAGTTATTGGCAAGCTAAGACGAAGGATATATTCTTGGCAGGCAAACAAGGCAATGCTATTGGATGATCATGTATAATTTATAGGAGGCAATTGAGCAGACATCCTCCCTGCTGCTGTGCAACAGAAATGATCGATGTTGAGAGGGAGGTAGGGGGTGGATGAATGGGGAGGGGGGAGAAAATCAATGTTTTTTTATTTATTGTCTCATCTCTCTATCTCCAGCATACATATAGCCTGAAGCAGAGAGCTCACGTAGGTTTTTATTTCACGTCAGAGCCTCTCCCTGCAGCCTGTTGATCCTCAGAGACGTGTGTTGCGTGAAGGTCAGACTGATTGTTTTTTTAATACGGATTTATTTTTTATATGTTTCCAAAGTGGCAAGTTTTGGTGAAATATTTAGTTTTCATATGTGAACATTTATTGATTTTTTTACAATTGTCTTTTTCGATTTTCAATATTAAAGCTACAGAAAAAAACAACATATTAACAAAATAAATACCTCAATAAAATGAAATGAAATATTGTCAATACAAAGACATGCAAATAATGGTAATTATACTAACAATAACT